TCAAATTCAATAAAAATCGACAAAAATACAGTTTCTAGCTAAAATTTGATGGTTTCGTTGCACTTTCCGAGCCCGTAGGGTATCTGAGTGGCTTAAAAGTACAAGAAAACACTTCAAAAGTGACGTTTCTGAAGAATTTTAACAGTTTTCTTGTATCTACGAACGCCAGAATGCATAAAATTGACCTAAACGTCTCCTTTTCCTATTCTGAGTCGATTCTGCATGCTTTAAGTGTGTTTGGTGGCTCAGAACCATCAAAAAACGTTGAAATATAGTTCAAATTCAATAAAAATCGACAAAAATACAGTTTCTAGCTAAAATTTGATGGTTTCGTTGCATTTTCCGAGCCCGTAGGGTATCTGAGTGGCTTAAAAGTACAAGAAAACACTTCAAAAGTGACGTTTCTGAAGAATTTTATCAGTTTTCTTGTATCTACGAACGCCAGAATGCATAAAATTGACCTAAACGTCTCCTTTTCCTATTCTGAGTCGATTCTGCATGCTTTAAGTGTGTTTGGTGGCTCAGAACCATCAAAAAACGTTGAAATATAGTTCAAATTCAAAAAAAATCGACAAAAATACAGTTTCTAGCTAAAATTTGATGGTTTCGTTGCACTTTCCGAGCCCGTAGGGTATCTGAGTGGCTTAAAAGTACAAGAAAACACTTCAAAAGTGACGTTTCTGAAGAATTTTAACAGTTTTCTTGTATCTACGAACGCCAGAATGCATAAAATTGACCTAAACGTCTCCTTTTCCTATTCTGAGTCGATTCTGCATGCTTTAAGTGTGTTTGGTGGCTCAGAACCATCAAAAAACGTTGAAATATAGTTCAAATTCAATAAAAATCGACAAAAATACAGTTTCTAGCTAAAATTTGATGGTTTCGTTGCACTTTCCGAGCCCGTAGGGTATCTGAGTGGCTTAAAAGTACAAGAAAACACTTCAAAAGTGACGTTTCTGAAGAATTTTAACAGTTTTCTTGTATCTACGAACGCCAGAATGCATAAAATTGACCTAAACGTCTCCTTTTCCTATTCTGAGTCGATTCTGCATGCTTTAAGTGTGTTTGGTGGCTCAGAACCATCAAAAAACGTTGAAATATAGTTCAAATTCAATAAAAATCGACAAAAATACAGTTTCTAGCTAAAATTTGATGGTTTCGTTGCACTTTCCGAGCCCGTAGGGTATCTGAGTGGCTTAAAAGTACAAGAAAACACTTCAAAAGTGACGTTTCTGAAGAATTTTAACAGTTTTCTTGTATCTACGAACGCCAGAATGCATAAAATTGACCTAAACGTCTCCTTTTCCTATTCTGAGTCGATTCTGCATGCTTTAAGTGTGTTTGGTGGCTCAGAACCATCAAAAAACGTTGAAATATAGTTCAAATTCAATAAAAATCGACAAAAATACAGTTTCTAGCTAAAATTTGATGGTTTCGTTGCACTTTCCGAGCCCGTAGGGTATCTGAGTGGCTTAAAAGTACAAGAAAACACTTCAAAAGTGACGTTTCTGAAGAATTTTAACAGTTTTCTTGTATCTACGAACGCCAGAATGCATAAAATTGACCTAAATGTCTCCTTTTCCTATTCTGAGTCGATTCTGCATGCTTTAAGTGTGTTTGGTGGCTCAGAACCATCAAAAAACGTTGAAATATAGTTCAAATTCAATAAAAATCGACAAAAATACAGTTTCTAGCTAAAATTTGATGGTTTCGTTGCACTTTCCGAGCCCGTAGGGTATCTGAGTGGCTTAAAAGTACAAGAAAACACTTCAAAAGTGACGTTTCTGAAGAATTTTAACAGTTTTCTTGTATCTACGAACGCCAGAATGCATAAAATTGACCTAAACGTCTCCTTTTCCTATTCTGAGTCGATTCTGCATGCTTTAAGTGTGTTTGGTGGCTCAGAACCATCAAAAAACGTTGAAATATAAATAAATAAATAAATAAATGGTTTATTGCATCCAACAGGGTAACCCCCAATTACTGAATACAAAATTACACACAAATATTTTTAAAAATTCTACAAGTGCAATATTATAACTAACTAGTACAGATACAAAAAAGAAAAAAATTTTTAAATCAATAAACAAGCTAATGAATGAATCGACTTCGATGAACAACCTAATACTGAACAACTTATTATAACGAACCGAAACTTAATTTCTTTATATCGGATAACCGACAGCAGAAGATATCTAATTTAGGATGGACAATATTCACTGTTCGGCAAATATTGTACATTGGGGAATACATCAAAATGTTGGTTCTTGGTGTACGTAGATAAAGAATATTATTCGATCTAACATTGAATTTTGGACAATTGAATTTGAGAAGACTCAGTAAATGTGAACAATTAATTTCATTTCCGATAAGCTTGGTAAAGAAGCGCAGATATCCCGTCTTCACCCTGTGAGCTATGCTAGAGATTGAGAACGTCTGGAGCAGATATTCTTGTGAGATGCCTCTTGGTGGGTATGTTGTGTATACCTTGAAATGTAAATACTTTAAAAACCGACGCTGAACATTTTCAATTTCATTAATGTACGCAGTATAATGCGGATACCATACAATAGCAGCATATTCTAATTTGCATCTAACAAACGAAAAATAAAGTAATTTTATTACAGCTTCATCATTGATACTGCTACTGTTTCTCATAATGAAACCGAGAAGTTTGATGGCATCTGATGTTAGGGTTTGAATATGCGCTGAAAATGATAATTTTGTGTCAAATACAACACCTAAATCCTTAACGTGCGATGGACGTGACAATAAAACGTTGTCAATCCTATATTTATAGTCGATAATTTGTTTCGCTAAGCTATATGATAAAATATAACATTTTTCCAAATTTAAAGAGAGATAGTTGCTTTTACACCAAATAGAAATTTTATCTAGGTCAGACTGAAGTTCAATACAATCTTGGTAGCATGTAATCCGGCGATACAATTTCAAGTCATCAGCATATAAAAGAGCCGAAGATTTAATGTCCTTCACTATGTCATTAATGAAAATATTGAAGATGAGTGGACCAAGAACCGAACCTTGAGGAACACCCGAAGTGGCTATAAAAGGTAGAGAACGAAAACCACGGCATTCAACAAAGCAACTGCGACCCGAAATATAGCTGCAGATTATGGAGCACATATTGTCCGATAAATCAGAATTGAAGAGTTTATTTTGTAGGATGCCGTGATCTATTCTATCGAAAGCCTTCGAAAAGTCCGTGTACACTACATCAGTTTGAAAACCACTGTCTAGACTTTCGGAAATAAATTGACATATGGACGTTAAATTGGTGACTGTAGAACGTCCCTGTACAAATCCGTGCTGATAATCGCTGATATGATTACTAATCTGATGAGATACAGTATCAAACAGGAGGGATTCAAAAACTTTGGAGAAATTGTCTAGAATAGAGATTGGGCGATAATTTTCAATAATCGAGCGATCGTCCTTTTTAAATAAAGGAATAATTTTAGAAATTTTCCAGATATTAGGAAAGGTTTGAGTTGAAATAGCTAAGTTATAAAGAAATTTTAATGGTTTGCAGAAGACAGCCGCACAATCCTTAACTAAAAATGCCGGAATCATGTCCGGTCCAGCAGTAAACTTAGGTTTCAAATCTTTTAGCTTTATGAAAACTTTTTCGTCTGAAAAGGTATCTGTTAAGATGTTGCTCTGAAAAAGAGAACCACTAGTTGCTGTAACATTGTGAAAACTTGATAAACGAAAGACAGATTTGAAGTGATCTGCAAAAGATCGAACCAAATTCTCACCTCCAGCAATTGACTCATCCTTGTATGTCATGTTAGAAGGGATGCCCGGATTTTTTCGTTTTAAATTGACAAACTTCCAGAATTCTTGAGGATTCGCTGTAATGTTTTTTTCTGCGTGTAAAATGAATTCTTTATAGGCATATTCAATTTCTTTCTTGACAATTCGTCTCAAGTTCTCAAATTTTTCTTTATCGGTACGCAGTCCTGATTTTTTAGCTTTGTTCCAAAGATGAGATTTTTGTTTAATTAACTTTATGACTTTAGGTGTAAACCAAACAGGGTAAGTTGAGGAACGACATTTATTTTTGGGCACAAAACGTTCTATTATATAATCGAGATGTTGATAAAAAGCCTCGCATGCTAAGTTGACATCACGGTACTTAATAGAAACTCCCAATTAGTATGAAGGAGGTTATTGTATAATGCTGGAAAATTAGCCTTGCGGAAATTAAAGTACCATTCGCAACCATTAGCCAAGGTTCTGGATCTCTTATAGAGCTTTGTTTCAATAGACCACTCGAGACATGGGTGATACACATCTTCTCGAGCCAAAGGTTCTGCTGCACGATCAACCGAAATGTGATTGTTCGCTATGACAAAATCAAGTGTTCGATTAAGACTATTAGTAATTTTGTTACATTGATGTAGAGAAAGAAACTGCAGAAAGTCAAAAAAATGCTTAACAAGGGGTGGTAAATTATAAGGGTTGTGAATTTGACTATAGGTAGGTAAATTAAAATCACCAACAATAAGTATGTTAGACTCATACAGATAGTTAAGTTGACAAATGGCATCAAAAAGAAGAGCATAGTTTTCATTACTTAGCGAGGGAGGAATGTAAATAACTAGAACATAAAGAGTAGAGTGATCCAAATAAATTTTAATACCAACAATATCAACGGCTGGTACAATAGAAAAATGGGTATCAAACTGTAAACGTTCCGTACGAAGGGATGAGTTAACTGCAATTAGTACACCTCCCCCTCTAGAAAAATGTGTTCTTTCAAAATCTCTATTAGTACGATAAACATTGTAAGTAGGTGGAAAAATTTCGAGATCCCCAATGTTATTGTTAAGCCATGTTTCTGTTAAGAGTATCACATCATATGAATTGTCTGAAACATTTAAGTAAAATGGCGATAATTTATTTTTTATGCTGCGAATATTTTGATAATAAAAATTTAATAGTTTCGGATTAATACTATTGATGGAGTTATTTAGTCAAGACAAATCGGTGAGAAGGGGCTTAGGTTTTGAAATTTCAATAGGTGTTGACATATTAAACACATCCTGTTTAATTTTGGCTTGAGCAGATTTATAAGCGAAACACTGCTTGTAATCCCAAGCAGCATGGGAAGTATTAATTTCCAAGTGTTGCAAATTGCGAATAGATAAACAGTTAGAGCAACAGAGTTTTGTATTATCATCATTTCTTTGGTTTGGACAAGCTTTTAAATTATGGGATTGTGCACATAGAGGACACACAGGTTCCTTTTTACATTGACCAGAACCATGATTATAACCATTGCAGTTAAAACACCTTAAAATCGTGAGAGCATCAAAAACGCTACACCCATTGAGACCTATAAGCAAATGACCGTTATCGAGTAGATTTTTATAAGAATCAAGATCGACTAGACATTCTGCTTGAAGCGTATCTTTGGACTTAGAGGTAGATGAAATTTTTTGCACCTTACATAGTGCATCCTTTGAAAAGAGATGAGAATTTTGTGATAAGGCGTAACTAGCAATCTCGTCTTTATTCAGTCCTTCAGGAATACCAACTATACGTACACGAGGGAGAATTGTAGTTGTCTTTTTAACATTATAATTATTAGATAGCTTGTCATCCGCGATACTGATGAGATTATCACTTTGTTGTTTATTTGCGCATTTAATTAATAATCCGCCATTGGAAACCACTTTGACTTTATTGATTTCAATGTTAGCAGGGAGAGGTTTAAGTGTGTGAAGAATTTCAGATTTGGTCTGCTTTACTGATTGAGATGAGTTTTTTGGTTTTATGATCACACCACATTCTGAAGAGTTTTGTAGTTTTTTAGCATAACTTACATTAGTATCATTAGTGGAGATATGGTTAATATCCTTGGAGCTATCAGTACTACTTTGCGAAGTTTTAACTATTTGGCACGATTTAACAAGGTCAAGGTTACGCTCTTTAAGATCATTGACCTCAGCACGAAGTAATTGAATTTCTGAAATTAATTGTTGCATTGCCTCATTTTCAGCGACTCCAATTTTAGCAGAAGCAGTTGGTAATGAATTAAGACTAATATTGCTGTTTTTCAGGACATTCAATTCTGTACGCAAAAAGTTTATTTCCTCATTAAGACTGCGACATTCTTTTTTAATCAAATCACCAAGCTGTTTAATAAATATATCTGAGATAGAACCAGAACCAGAGGAAGCTTTAAATATATTAAAATTATTTGCACAGTCCACACAAAATAACTTAGCATGCAATGAGATCCTACGAGCCCTGTCGCAGGCCGTAATCGCATCTGGGGGCATCGAAAGACATGAGTAGTGCATCGAACGACCACACCAATCACAAGCTAATCCAAGAGCAGGATCAACTAATGCTGCACACTTTGGGCACTTTCCGTCCATTAAATATAGGTTTTTAGAAACGAGATTAAATTGATGCTAATAGATATGCACACAACACAATAAAAGTTAGGCTAACTAAGACACCGAAGTAAACAAACGGCAGCGCCGCGAAGCGGCGCTTGCCTAAAACGCTTAAGTAAACAAACAGAATTATGCGCTTTATAAATACAAAATCAACATAAGCAAGTTCAAGTACACAAAAAAAAAAGGTAAACCAACGATGGTTACGCACAAAAACACATTTACCAACAGCAAATTATTAAATCATTTATAAATAAAAATAATTTAAAAAGGTCAGCGCCGTGTGGTTAAAATTGACACTATAAAATGTAAACTGATAGAGTTAATTTAGCTGAAATCCCGCATTAAAATATGCAAACAGCTCAATTAATGACTGTTTACCCCACATAGGAGTTTATGCGAAATATGAGATGAATTTAGAGGATTATGGAGCAAATTTTAACACTGAAATCAATAAAAATCGACAAAAATACAGTTTCTAGCTAAAATTTGATGGTTTCGTTGCACTTTCCGAGCCCGTAGGGTATCTGAGTGGCTTAAAAATACAAGAAAACACTTCAAAAGTGACGTTTCTGAAGAATTTTAACAGTTTTCTTGTATCTACGAACGCCAGAATGCATAAAATTGACCTAAACGTCTCCTTTTCCTATTCTGAGTCGATTCTGCATGCTTTAAGTGTGTTTGGTGGCTCAGAACCATCAAAAAACGTTGAAATATAGTTCAAATTCAATAAAAATCGACAAAAATACAGTTTCTAGCTAAAATTTGATGGTTTCGTTGCACTTTCCGAGCCCGTTGGGTATCTGAGTGGCTTAAAAGTACAAGAAAACACTTCAAAAGTGACGTTTCTGAAGAATTTTAACAGTTTTCTTGTATCTACGAACGCCAGAATGCATAAAATTGACCTAAACGTCTCCTTTTCCTATTCTGAGTCGATTCTGCATGCTTTAAGTGTGTTTGGTGGCTCAGAACCATCAAAAAACGTTGAAATGTAGTTCAAATTCAATAAAAATCGACAAAAATACAGTTTCTAGCTAAAATTTGATGGTTTCGTTGCACTTTCCGAGCTCGTAGGGTATCTGAGTGGCTTAAAAGTACAAGAAAACACTTCAAAAGTGACGTTTCTGAAGAATTTTAACAGTTTTCTTGTATCTACGAACGCCAGAATGCATAAAATTGACCTAAACGTCTCCTTTTCCTATTCTGAGTCGATTCTGCATGCTTTAAGTGTGTTTGGTGGCTCAGAACCATCAAAAAACGTTGAAATATAGTTCAAATTCAATAAAAATCGACAAAAATACAGTTTCTAGCTAAAATTTGATGGTTTCGTTGCACTTTCCGAGCCCGTAGGGTATCTGAGTGGCTTAAAAGTACAAGAAAACACTTCAAAAGTGCCGTTTCTGAAGAATTTTAACAGTTTTCTTGTATCTACGAACGCCAGAATGCATAAAATTGACCTAAACGTCTCCTTTTCCTATTCTGAGTCGATTCTGCATGCTTTAAGTGTGTTTGGTGGCTCAGAACCATCAAAAAACGTTGAAATATAGTTCAAATTCAATAAAAATCGACAAAAATACAGTTTCTAGCTAAAATTTGATGGTTTCGTTGCACTTTCCGAGCCCGTAGGGTATCTGAGTGGCTTAAAAGTACAAGAAAACACTTCAAAAGTGAAGTTTCTGAAGAATTTTAACAGTTTTCTTGTATCTACGAACGCCAGAATGCATAAAATTGACCTAAACCTCTCCTTTTCCTATTCTGAGTCGATTCTGCATGCTTTAAGTGTGTTTGGTGGCTCAGAACCATCAAAAAACGTTGAAATATAGTTCAAATTCAATAAAAATCGACAAAAATACAGTTTCTAGCTAAAATTTGATGGTTTCGTTGCACTTTCCGAGCCCGTAGGGTATCTGAGTGGCTTAAAAGTACAAGAAAACACTTCAAAAGTGACGTTTCTGAAGAATTTTAACAGTTTTCTTGTATCTACGAACGCCAGAATGCATAAAATTGACCTAAACGTCTCCTTTTCCTATTCTGAGTCGATTCTGCATGCTTTAAGTGTGTTTGGTGGCTCAGAACCATCAAAAAACGTTGAAATATAGTTCAAATTCAATAAAAATCGACAAAAATACAGTTTCTAGCTAAAATTTGATGGTTTCGTTGCACTTTCCGAGCCCGTAGGGTATCTGAGTGGCTTAAAAGTACAAGAAAACACTTCAAAAGTGACGTTTCTGAAGAATTTTAACAGTTTTCTTGTATCTACGAACGCCAGAATGCATAAAATTGACCTAAACGTCTCCTTTTCCTATTCTGAGTCGATTCTGCATGCTTTAAGTGTGTTTGGTGGCTCAGAACCATCAAAAAACGTTGAAATATAGTTCAAATTCAATAAAAATCGACAAAAATACAGTTTCTAGCTAAAATTTGATGGTTTCGTTGCACTTTCCGAGCCCGTAGGGTATCTGAGTGGCTTAAAAGTACAAGAAAACACTTCAAAAGTGACGTTTCTGAAGAATTTTAACAGTTTTCTTGTATCTACGAACGCCAGAATGCATAAAATTGACCTAAACGTCTCCTTTTCCTATTCTGAGTCGATTCTGCATGCTTTAAGTGTGTTTGGTGGCTCAGAACCATCAAAAAACGTTGAAATATAGTTCAAATTCAATAAAAATCGACAAAAATACAGTTTCTAGCTAAAATTTGATGGTTTCGTTGCACTTTCCGAGCCCGTAGGGTATCTGAGTGGCTTAAAAGTACAAGAAAACACTTCAAAAGTGACGTTTCTGAAGAATTTTAACAGTTTTCTTGTATCTACGAACGCCAGAATGCATAAAATTGACCTAAACGTCTCCTTTTCCTATTCTGAGTCGATTCTGCATGCTTTAAGTGTGTTTGGTGGCTCAGAACCATCAAAAAACGTTGAAATATAGTTCAAATTCAATAAAAATCGACAAAAATACAGTTTCTAGCTAAAATTTGATGGTTTCGTTGCACTTTCCGAGCCCGTAGGGTATCTGAGTGGCTTAAAAGTACAAGAAAACACTTCAAAAGTGACGTTTCTGAAGAATTTTAACAGTTTTCTTGTATCTACGAACGCCAGAATGCATAAAATTGACCTAAACGTCTCCTTTTCCTATTCTGAGTCGATTCTGCATGCTTTAAGTGTGTTTGGTGGCTCAGAACCATCAAAAAACGTTGAAATATAGTTCAAATTCAATAAAAATCGACAAAAATACAGTTTCTAGCTAAAATTTGATGGTTTCGTTGCACTTTCCGAGCCCGTAGGGTATCTGAGTGGCTTAAAAGTACAAGAAAACACTTCAAAAGTGACGTTTCTGAAGAATTTTAACAGTTTTCTTGTATCTACGAACGCCAGAATGCATAAAATTGACCTAAACGTCTCCTTTTCCTATTCTGAGTCGATTCTGCATGCTTTAAGTGTGTTTGGTGGCTCAGAACCATCAAAAAACGTTGAAATATAGTTCAAATTCAATAAAAATCGACAAAAATACAGTTTCTAGCTAAAATTTGATGGTTTCGTTGCACTTTCCGAGCCCGTAGGGTATCTGAGTGGCTTAAAAGTACAAGAAAACACTTCAAAAGTGACGTTTCTGAAGAATTTTAACAGTTTTCTTGTATCTACGAACGCCAGAATGCATAAAATTGACCTAAACGTCTCCTTTTCCTATTCTGAGTCGATTCTGCATGCTTTAAGTGTGTTTGGTGGCTCAGAACCATCAAAAAACGTTGAAATATAGTTCAAATTCAATAAAAATCGACAAAAATACAGTTTCTAGCTAAAATTTGATGGTTTCGTTGCACTTTCCGAGCCCGTAGGGTATCTGAGTGGCTTAAAAGTACAAGAAAACACTTCAAAAGTGACGTTTCTGAAGAATTTTAACAGTTTTCTTGTATCTACGAACGCCAGAATGCATAAAATTGACCTAAACGTCTCCTTTTCCTATTCTGAGTCGATTCTGCATGCTTTAAGTGTGTTTGGTGGCTCAGAACCATCAAAAAACGTTGAAATATAGTTCAAATTCAATAAAAATCGACAAAAATAGAGTTTCTAGCTAAAATTTGATGGTTTCGTTGCACTTTCCGAGCCCGTAGGGTATCTGAGTGGCTTAAAAGTACAAGAAAACACTTCAAAAGTGACGTTTCTGAAGAATTTTAACAGTTTTCTTGTATCTACGAACGCCAGAATGCATAAAATTGACCTAAACGTCTCCTTTTCCTATTCTGAGTCGATTCTGCATGCTTTAAGTGTGTTTGGTGGCTCAGAACCATCAAAAAACGTTGAAATATAGTTCAAATTCAATAAAAATCGACAAAAATACAGTTTCTAGCTAAAATTTGATGGTTTCGTTGCACTTTCCGAGCCCGTTGGGTATCTGAGTGGCTTAAAAGTACAAGAAAACACTTCAAAAGTGACGTTTCTGAAGAATTTTAACAGTTTTCTTGTATCTACGAACGCCAGAATGCATAAAATTGACCTAAACGTCTCCTTTTCCTATTCTGAGTCGATTCTGCATGCTTTAAGTGTGTTTGGTGGCTCAGAACCATCAAAAAACGTTGAAATATAG